ACGTACAATATAGGCACAGATAACTATGCATTGAAGCATTAGACCCACAATTTTATACCGTAGGCCCAAGGAGTTTACTTTTAATCTCCTTGCGTAGGCCCAAAACTAGTTTATTGATAAGGCCAGGCTGTGACAGGCGCAAAGAGGTTATAATAGTACTCAGAGGTCGCAGCTGTGACGTCACCCACGTAAATTCACTATGGCTGTGTAAGGCTACTCAGCTCGCTTTGTCGCCATTTTTGAGAGGATTAGAAACAGCGTCCCTCACAATGCCTAGGTGTTCATAGAGTTTGAAGCTCAGTTCAGTTTTATTTTAAGCTTTCTTTTTGTTTGCCGTTGTTGTTTAATAAGCTCAGTTCAGTTTTATTTTAAGCTTTCTTTTTGTTTGCCGTTGTTGTTTAATAAGCTCAGTTCAGTTTTATTTTAAGCTTTCTTTTTGTTTGCCGTTGTTGTTTAGTTACACAACATACACGCATACAGATTTAGAATACCGTCCCTGATTCCAGAGGGCCCAACGAGCGCCCCTATGTGGTCAGCAGTTCTAAATTTAGACATACTGTTTGAGCGCACACATAGCAAAATATTTCAATAAAATTATGTTTTGTATTTTAACAAATGATCATCAAGTCCTTCTCATTCACTTTTTCTGAATTTTACGCACCCCTATAATCCTATATGGCCTCACCCTGTAAAAGGCCTTATTTGCATTATTTGGAGATTATCTGGCTCATTGAAAGGTAAACAATCACAAGAATCCCTATGAGTACAATTTAGCAATAGGAAATTCACATGAAAAAGAAATCAACATCAAAAGACTTCGCAGAGTATCACTAATCCGCGATTGAAAAGGGTTGCTGTGCACCGGTGGCCTTTTATTCCTCTCAGGAATGGCGGCGCGGCCCTCAAGTTGACTCTCCTGACGTCACAGCCAAGATCTCTAGTTCTATTTATAACCTCTTTGAAAACGTGTGAGTTATAGATCTACAGGGTGCCCACTAGAATCTACAGCTGGATCGGGCAGATCACCCGACTCGATCGCCTGAAACTGAAAACAAACATGTCCGTAGAGGTATTTCCTTTTAAACGTGCTTATCCTAGTGTACAGTATGCCTATAACAAATACAAGGCTACATCAATGGGCAGTGAAAACAGAAATGAAACTATTCAGGGGAGTTAATTCTAATCGTTTTTTTTCTTCTGAGTTATTGTAGCCTAACTGGCAATGGTGTAGCCTAATTGAGATACAACAACGAGAAACAACATCACTGTCACAAACTCAAAGGTGAGGTTTGTCACAATCCAAGGCTAGCCTAGATTAGATCTAGATTTAGACTCAAGTCGTGTTTAATTGTAACCACACGATATTATTATAAGTGATGTGCAAGTGAGCCAGTTGCTGTAACCAAAGTACAAGCTGTATGGTAAGTTTTTAGGCGCTTTTTCGGTAGTTCCCACCCCGCAATTTTATTCACGGGTTTGGGCCACAAGAGTAGGGGGGTTTCAGGGGGCTTGCCCCCCTGACCCAATAAAAATAGGAAGGGGGGTTTCAGGGGGGCATGCCCCCCTGAATTTTACCATAATTTAATGTTTTGCAGTTGTTAGGTTTGATATCTTAGCTCACCGCGAATCAAACATCATATAGATCTAGATCTAGTTCTAGATCTAGATCTAGATCTAGATGTAGGTCAGGCTCAAATAAGGGGGGTGGGAACTACCGAAAAAGCACCAGTTTTTACTTAGATCTAGATCTAGATCTAGGTAGATTATCTAGTGTCAATTGCCACCGAGTGACGCGGTGGCAATTGACAAAAATTGACTTTTTGTCAATTGCCACCGTGTAAATTGGAGCTCTTTTGCGTTGGTGGGTAGATCTAGTTTATTGTGCTTGAGTGCTCGGTGTTGTGCGTTCGCCTCTCTGTCCCTCTGTGACTCTGTGTGCGTGTGTTTGAGTGTGTGTGTGTCTTTTCCTGACCCCCGTCCTCCGATTTATGAATTTCTGCTTGAGTTTGTGTGCGTTTGTGACCTTAGAACTTCTAGAATTGGTAAGATTGAAGAATACCGGACCAGCGGACTGACTTTGCCTATGTCTCAACCTTACGAATTCATGATTTTCCCGTTTTTAATATCACTCAATGGAGAATCTCGGACCGGTAGATCTATTCTCATTAAAATTTTGTCAGGGGGGAGACCCCCTTGAACCCCCCTCCCCCCTCCTCCATCCCAACCACCCGCCCCACCTACCCCACTTTCTCGCGCAATAATGTACGAGTGGTCCGGTATTCTTCAATCTTCCCCTAGAATTGCCTGTGTTGGTTCTACAGCAAAGTGTAGGCTAAGGCTAGCCTAGGCCTACGTCTCATTGAAAACACGCCAAGTTGGTACCGTATAGACTTTAGCTCTAGACTAGTCGTCCAATGAAATTAGTTGAGAACAAATTGACCCATTAGACACACATTATGTATAATGCTAAAGATAGTGTTGTTTTCAGACTTGACACCGCTTTACTCGGTGGCAATCGACAAAAAGTCAATTTTTGTCAATTGCCACCGCGTCACTCGGTGGCAATTGACGCTACCTTTTACAGTAACTTTTACTTATGCACCCGCACACAGATAGATGTGATTTGAGGGCTGGATCTAGATGTCTAGACTAGATATAGATATAGATCTAGATTATTCTAGATCTAGATCTATATTATCTAGATTCTTGATCTAGAGGAGAGGCAAGAGGTGATCTTGTGGTTTCGTTCGTTAAAGTCCACTTTCCATTTGTGTACCTCCAGAGAAGAAATCCAGAAGTCTTGATGACCGAAAAGGCAACACAAAGAAAAGGGGGGATGCAACCACATGCGATTAAACGTAGAAAGACGCAAACTATTTTTAGGTACGGTACCCATCTTGTTTGACGTCACACCAGGATACCCCTCCGATCACGTGACTACATCTAAGTATAGCCAACCGCATGGCACCAAAGATGGAAGTGTCTATAACGCTTAATCTACACCGCGCTATTGGAAGTTCTGATGGCCGAATAGACAGCGCGTCTGTGTCTGTGTTAGAAGTCATGCAATGAGTTTAGGAGCGGTTCGATTCCGGTCCCGGGCTATATTTTTTTTCTCTCTTTTCCTCCTCCCGACTGACCAACAGTCCCATAAATTATGATTTGTAGTAAATTGTAGAGCTGCTTTAATGAAGTTGTTTAAAAAAAAAAATTTAATGTATATTAGTGATGAAGAATGTAGGAGAGGGGGGGGGGGGGTAGATCTAGGTCTAGATCTAATCCTCCAGTGTCTTTACGACAATTTTCGTACAATTTCCATCTTTGGTGCCATGCGGTTGGCTATACTTAGATCTAGATGTAGTCACGTGATCGGAGGGGAATCCTGGTCTGACGTAAACTATTTTTAGGTAAGGAGGCCATCTTGTGTGACGTCAGACCTTGATATTGTTTCAAATCAGGGCTGAGCGAGCAAAACATTTTCCGTCTTAGATAAGTTAAGTAAGTCCTTCGGAAGGGAGCGGATTTTTCTTTCCGCTTCCGCGTTGGACAGGTTTCCGTTTTATACAGGTAATTAAAGAGGAATATATCAAGGGGGGAGCGGGGAGATTCCGTAAGGACAGGTTTCCGTCTTATACAGGTTTCAGTTAGGCAGGTTCGACTGTATTTAGAATATATAGGATTTGGGCTAGATGTAATGTTTTTTTAGTTTTATTTATATGCGAGTAGGTTGGTTACACTACCCTCTAAAGTTAATCTAAAAATAACATGATGTTAAAGTAAAAAGACACACATATGGACTCAGACTCAAGTCAAGATGAACTGGTGTCTCCATCTCTCACTCTCAGACTCTTTGTCTTTCTCTTTCAGCTCCCAGAACTTAAAAGTTAAGTAGAGTACTGATGATACCAATTTTACTTGTTTGTAATTATGTGCCTGTTTCAAATTCGTGTAAACTGACTAAACATAAATGGTAAACATGGAAAGTCTGAACCTGAAAGGCAATAACTTAGCTTTTACTTTTTTAATTTTACCAGGTAGGCTAAGTGGAGCGTAAGTGAATTAGAAAGAAAAAATAAGATGGTGGTCAGAAGTCAGATGGCTTAGAAATTTAAAGGAAATATATAGTGTGATTCATCCCCTATCTTTTTAATAAAGATGGCCAGGAAATATATGATCACTGAGTACCAAGCTAATAAAGCCCACACGGGTTGTAGGTCTAAATCGTAACGTAGTGACTATTCTCGGACTCAAGTCTGATTAAACAAAAATTATAATTGGACTCCAGCATGACGTCACTTCCGACTTCCTATGACTCAGACTCCGACACACACAACGAAAAAGTAATGATGATGCTGTAGTGGTGGTGGAAGTAATCATGATGCCGTTGACTAGTAGTGGTGCCCGGGGCTGGTTTCAATATATGTAGACCCTGAGTTGTCGGTTACCGTGTACGTAGACACTGCCATTGGGCTATGAGAGTGCAGTCTTTTGACTTTTGACACAGCTACACATTTCTAGTAAGTAATTCTAGTTCTAATTCTGGTTTCACGTAAAATCCGGTGACAATAGTTATATTGCAACCTCTTTACATTCACATAACCACTGAGAAGCCAAGTTCGAATAAATAAAACATTTTTGTGGGACCCGAGTCAGAAAACCCCATTTTCGGACTCGAATCCAAATAAATAAAAAAATCTAATCAGACTCGGGTCCGAATAGAGATGGCCAAATCCAAAAAAATGGCCTATAATTTATGATATTAGTATAATTTATTTATTCAGCTGAAATTGAATGCTTTTGTGACTTTTGACTTACATATTTAATTCAGTTGGCCATCAGTCTATCTTCACCTCTGTAGGCCTGAAGAAAATTAACTGAAATTGTCAGTTAGTCCTTTTCCCCAGCACCTGATATGTAGTGAAGTGCTGTGTGTGTGCTATACTTGAAGTTGAAGGCCTTGTGATTCATTTTATTCCATCATGGCTTCATGAGGTAAAAAAAGATCAGTTACCAAGTTTGTTGAAATCTACCATTCATTCTATGAACTTCCCTTGAGGACATATATATACATACAGTCAAACCTGCCTTAACGGAAACCTGTATAAAACGGAAACCTGTCTTAACAGAAATCTCCCCGCTCCCGCCTTGATATATTCCTCTTTAATTACCTGTATAAAACGGAAACCTGCCCAACGCGGAAACGGAAAGAAAAATCTGCTCCCTTCCGAGGGTTTCCCCTGTCTAAGACGGAAAATGCTTTGCCTGCTCAACTCTGATTTGAAACAAAACTGGCAAGTTTGGTTCCGCCGACTCTAAAATTAACGCTATGGCTATGCCACTGGGCGAGGAAGAGGAGTAGGGATGCAATTTGGGGGTTGATGTTAACCCATCATGTGAGCCCTGAGGGATGCAGATGGTCAGTGTAGTGTGGGTGTGAAATCTCACGACTTCCAGTGAGAGTGCTCGAGTAGCGAGCCACTGCGGAAAGTTTCCTGGGTCCAGAAGCCAGAGGTGTGAAATTAGATTGACCAATGCCTTCCGCTCTGATCGTACGGCCAGCCGAGAAAAGAGTTCCTCGAATCGTTGTTAAAATGGTGGCAGTGAGGGGTGGCATGGGTGGGTGGGGCTAAGGGTGGAACCAAAGGAGATGTTCAAACGTTTCTGTTTTTAATTAGTCAAACAGTGGTCCTATGAAAGGCAAGCACTGGTGGTAATTGGATAAGTAAGACAGTGACATTATCAGACAGGATAGCATTTGAGAGGTGTGAAGTTTTGACCACTGCTTGCCGATCGGACAAGTGATCCTTGATCCCACCGGCTTTGCCTTTGAAACCCCCCCCCCACCCCCCTAAATTCCCCTGTCTGAGACGGAATTTTTTTCTGGCTCCCTTGCGATTCCGTCTTACACAGGTTCAACTGTAGTATAGTGAAATCTGTTACTTGCACATATAAAAATATTTTAAAATCCTGGAGATTTCGCTATATATGCATGCTAGACTATAGATCCATATATATCTTTTCTCTCATGCACACATTTTTCACGTTCACTTACTGATTTTTTTTTGGGTTGGAAATTGTGACCTTAGCATTCACATACTTTTTCTTCTGTTTCTAAATATTCATGCCTATGGGTTGAGGTATTTGACTTGTTTAGTTTTACACATCTCCTGCAAGTCGAAATGATGACATTTTCACTAACTAAAACTCACAAATTGATCCTGCACGTATAGATGCTATCCTAACATATTTTTAACCCTTCCAGCCCCAAGCGTGTATATTTTCAGCTGCGCTTGTACCCCCCACTGTCCCAAGAGCGTATATATTCTGTTTCAGGGGGTACCGAATTTTTCGAAATTAGCGAACCTAATTAAACTTTAATTTTCATAATCTGTATTCATTGACCTTTAAACATTGTACGTTATTATCTAAACCTCATTACAAAGATACTACGGTACAACACTTTTTAGAATGCATACCTCTTTTTCTAATACTTTGCTGTATTGGCTGGGACTGGGTTTAGGGAGTGCACAAAAATGTCTGGGGCTGGAAGGGTTAATAATAGGTACTGTACACTGGGAATACACAAAAAACAGCCCTGCAACAACCTTTTGAAGTTGAAATTTATTGCTACTTTTACTGTAAACTGCAGCCACAGAGTAAGTATATACAATGACTCCAATGCAAATTTGTACTTAAATATAAACCATATACTGTGCTGTGTGGCTTGTTAATGATGTTGGTTTGTTTCTTTTCCATAGCAAAGATGGAGAACTACACTAAAGGAGAGACAAAGAAAGAATATGATCCTCCTCGGCTGTTTCTTGAGGGGGCAGTGGAAATGAAGGTCACAGGAGGGAGCAAAATCAGAAATTTGATGGGTTTTGCCATGTCTTCTATGGGGGTAAGGCTTACTGATATATTGTGTTTTGTCATGCACAAGTATTTGATTTGTGTTGTCTATGTGCACAGGATGACTATCTCAAGAAAGGGCAGAACGAACATGAACTTATTTGTGTTGACTTCCTTGTCTAGACTGTTAACACTATGCCCCCACAGGACGCCGATCAGCGACGGTAAGAAACCGTCCCTTTTCCTCATGGGACGCCTATCGGCGACGGTGTGATATAGCATGAACCGCATCTGTATCCTGGTCCGTGAGGATAAGTGTTGCCTGCTCTGCTCGCTACGTGGGTGAAAAGTGTTAAATGTTTTTCATACGTGGGTGGTTGATGGGTGCTCTGGTGTGGTTTGCTTCTTCTCTCCTGTCAAACATCTATAGTCTTTATCTCCCCACCTTTTTTGTGTTTGTTAGTTTGTTACTTTCTTGTAACACATCTAATCTTCAGCACTTATATGACCTTATTGTGTTGCAAGTGCCATAAAACACTTACTGGTACTAATACTAAATGTATGTATGTCTTTCATGTTGAAATGAAATTTGATGTAAAAGTAAAACTTTGTTGTAATTCTTTCCCTAAAGTGTATGTCTTAAACATTTATGTGCATAATGTAATGTTTGTGTAGTTTGTGTAGCTATGAGAGTGCGACTGCGGAAGAAAATTATGAAAGGATAGAGTCAAGCGGAGAGAGGACCACTTGCTGTGGTCGGGTAGTTTCAGAATGTAAACTGTACATGTCCTTCCTGGAATGTTCCCTCTACTCTTAGTTTCTTGATCAGAATTAACTTTGCCTAATAGTATGTGCAGTGTCTAGCACACTATTCCACTTCAACTGAAACTAAATAAAGAGTATGAAGTCAGTTGTAGAGTTGACATGTATGGAAAGGAATTTCTGTCCCAGAATTGCTTTGTCACGTGTCCCTATTTTTCATGTACCGATATTCAAAGAATTGGATTTCAAAGTTTTTGACTCCATTTGAGAAAAGTTTAATTAGCATGAATACAGGCCTGTGGTTCCCTTTTTATGAGAGATGACTAAACTTACTTGGAAGACAAGGAGTATAAAAGAATAAGACAAAAGGTAAGTAAAATATATATCAATGCCAACTTATTTTAAGTGTCTGTTCACAGTAGTAGAGATTCTATCACCAACTTTGTCCTGAATAAAGGTTTAGCACCCGCCTCTCTCTCTCTCTCTCTCTCTCTCTCTCTCTCTCTCTCTCTCTCTCTCTCTCTCTCTCTCCCTCTCCCTCTCCCTCTCCCTCTCCCTCTCCCTCTCCCTCTCCCTCTCCCTCTCCCTCTCCCTCTCTCTTTCTCTCTCTCTCTCTCTCTCTCTCTCTCTCTCTCTCTCTCAATTTAATTTTGATCATGTTTCTATTTCCTTGATATATACTTCTTTTTCATTTTTGCCCTACCAAGGACAAGTCTGTGAGACACATGACATGGAATGGAACAGGCAATGCTATCAACAAAACTATCTCTTGTGTTGAAATAATGAAACGAAAAGTTAAGGTTTGTATAATGTTTTGTGGTCATCCTTCTCTTGTCTTCTTTGGGTTGTATAAAAAGTAACCAACCTTTTAAACACTGTCCCTGGGTGGTTGGCGGGTGCTCTGGTGTGGTTTGCTTCTTCTTTCCTATCAAACGTCTATCGTCCTTATCTCCCCTTCTTCTTTTTTATGTTTGTTACTCTCTTGTAACACCTCTAATCTTCTGGCGCTCATTTGACTTTATGCAGTTGCGAGCGCCGTAAAACCTCTACTAAAACGAAACGAAAACACTGTCCCCCTCATTTAACTCAAACTTGGTTTGAAAGAATCCTCAGTTAGTGCAGACAATATGAAGATCTCTGTTTTCAGTTAGAAATTAGTTCTGTGTAAATTACCAGCTCTCAGTTTTAAGGAATGTCTGAAGTCATGAACGTTTCCGACTCTTTTAGTGCCTTTTTGGGCTCAGTCCCACATGTCGCACTAAATGGTCATCAACACTTTGCAGTCACACAGCCAGCAGTACAAAATACCCCATCTGATCACCCAGCCAGGAGAGTGACTGCAACGGACATCTCGGGCCTGTCCAAGAACTGCGTCAAGTGACCAGAACAGATAATTTCCACCATCGCATTACTGCGACAAGTGACTGCAAAGTGTTAAAGCGCTCTCATTGATCGTACCGCTCCATTATACCTTTCCTTTTTTCTGGAAGGGCTTTCAACCTTCATGAAAGTATGAGCAAGGTGCTTTTCACATGATGAGCTTACACATTGAGATATTGGATAGAACTATGATCAGACGGGTGGTTGGAGAGGGCTACTGGTAGTGGTAGGTCCTATTTCTTTCTGTTGCTCTATTGTTTCTAAGTGCCTTTCTTGCTTTATCCCAGCAGTATTTGGCTGTTGCTGTGTCAATGTGTTTTTTTTTACATAAGCAAATTGTTTGATCAGTGAAAGCATTGCTCTTTATGTTTTTGTTTTACCTTTTTTTTCCTCATACGCATTTCCTTTCCTGAACAGGAGGCTGTAGGGTGCATAATAGTAATTTTCTTGTGGTACTTTTTTTTCAGTGTTACTGCTACTGTTGTCCTAATCTGCTGCTCATTAAGTGTGACCATTTCAAGCTGACTTGCAAGAAATCAATCTCAAATAACAGCGACACATTGCTCACTTTGTATTCCCATGTTGCATGAGTTTTCCTAGAAGTGCTTTGATTTAAATTGATTCCTATGGTTTGTGAGCAATATGAAATTTAGCACTAGGCCAACCTGTCAAATGCTTTTTGTTTTGTTTACTGTGTTCAGGGGCTGCACCAGATTACGCAGATTGGATACATGCGAGTTGAAGACTTCTGGGAGCCATCGATTGAGGGTTTAGATACGTGAGTCTTTCTTTGTACTTTGTTCTTATGTAAACTCCTATTGTAAGACAAAATGTACCCTTTCATAAATTACTTTCACTGACACGAGGGGCTTCAAATTAAAAAAAATATAATTGTAAGTTTTGGTCAGAGCCAACTCTCCATTTTGTGGAACTCTTTACCTCCTTATCTCCAGCCTGCAGCTCGTGATCTGAACCCCTGTGCCGGTGAGCTGTTGGCAAGCCTCTTTTACAGGTTCATTAATTAGATGAAGAACTATTCAACTTGGTTCACTTGTTTTGATTTAATTTCCAATTTAGTGACATATATTCACTTTTAGATTTCGTGCCTAAAAAGGAGCGTCACAATGTGGGTTTACTTCCCTTGGAGATAAGAGGTTGAATTAGAACTTGATAACAACAGTGGAATGTGCTGAAGCCAAAATCTAGGGGACAGCTGGATTTTTTCAATTCAGGTGTTTTTGGTTCAGTAAGATTGCACAATTGTATGCACAAGGGAAGTAATTCATCACCCTAATCCTAAGAATTATGATATACACCAAGCTGTATCCCTTAGTTCTTGAGGCGAGATGACACCATCCCCATCAGCATTTCTTTAGATGTTTTGTTTCCTGTTTTTTTCTCAACCACCTGTAGGGTGTACTCATTGTGCTTTCTCTTCGACATTGTCAGCTTGCTTAATCGGCCGAACAGTCACACAGAACAGGCGAAAGAGTAGATAATATAAGAGTACTGCAACTGCACTATACCACAGACTATACTGTAATCAAGAGTGTGTGACTGTACTGTGCTCTGCGCCAGACTATGCATAGAGAAATGAGAAGGCCCAGTGTGAGTGACGTAGTGAAACATCACAAAACTTCACGTGCTCATATGTGTGTGAGCTAGCTTCTCAGGGTCAATAATTTCCATCACTATGCTTAGTGTGTAGGCCTGTTGATGTGTGTGATGAACGTACAGGTATGCAAAAAAAGTACACTGGCATCAGTGGTGGGGCGTAGTGAAGGGCTAAAAGGCTTGAACCCCACCTACTCCTACCCCCAACTCTTTCCCTTCATAAATGAATATTTCTTATAAACGAAATAATCAGTTAAGACAGTTAAGACCGCCTCAGAATCCTCCACCTTTAGTTGTATGCAGTGAACACACGCACTTGCTGTTGTCACTGCTTACAACTATAGTAACCTAACAGCGAATCAAATGTCTTTAGAGCTCGGCAGAGGATGATCCCATTCCCACGCTCCTTTCTTAATAAAAACTCTTCTTGAAAAAAGGTAAAAGAAACAAATGAAAGCCCACGAAAACTATTGTAAGAGAGGGCTCATTCTCTGCAAGCCCAAACAATGGGAGGGAAAGTTCTTGACACACTTTTCCCAGAGACCATTGGGCCCTTGTAAGGAATGTCTTGCTCTCTGCGACTACACAACCAAATATATTTACTATTTACTGTTGAATGTGTGTGTGTGAGTGTTTGTATGACACACACGCATGAACACACATCACATACAAACGCACGTTGCCAAACATATTTATAATTTTTTCTGAACAGACGAAATCTTGTCTTTGAACTCAACCTACCCTCATTTCTTAGCCCCACCCACATTTTGATCCACCCACCGCCACTGGCTGGCATTGTCTCTCTCTCTCTGGCCTGTAATCACCTCATGTGCGTTCCCCATATCTCTTTCTTCTGTTTTGCTGTCTTGGTGCACTTAAAATTTGGTTCTTTGCAATACTTGAGGGTGAAGATTAAGACGGTATAACCCTTGAAATTCGATGCGGTTTAGAAATAGGAGCATTTGGCAGATCGACAGTTTTCTTACAAAGAGACAAAAGAAGAAAGAAATTGGAGATTCTATTTTCTTTCGAATTATTGCTTATTTTAGATTTGTTTTCAGTTTCAGTAGATTCGATAGGTGGTTGGCAGGCGCTCTGGTGTGGCTTGCTCCTTCGTTCCTGTAAAGCATCTGTCGTCCTTATCTTTCCTTCTTTTTTGTGTATGTTACTCTTTTGTAACACTTCTAATCTTTGGCGCTTATTGTGTAGCAAGTGCTGTAAAACTCTTACTAAAACTAAGCAGATTCCACTGTAGTTACTCAAAATCTATTGGTTTTTAAAGTTTGTAGTGAGGTTTATCAATTTTTTTCTTTATTGTGTTTTCTGTGGTTACTGAGGCTGATTGGGATTGTTACTTTCCTTGTACGGAAGTCTCTGCTTGCGATCCCATTTCCTTCAGTAAGATTCTACTGTTTTAAGAAAACAGAATTTTTGCAAAACGTAAGTGACGCCCCTAAGATCCTGCTCATTTGCCGAGTTCGTGCATTTCTGATTATGAATTATGGAGCAATAACTTCGGTCACCACAGCTGATCAACCAAGCAGTGAAAATTTGCTATCATGGTTGTGTATTGACCATTGCATTGCTTCACAGATCATCCACTCTCTTGAATGTGATCACATCTCCGTTGTAAATCTCAGTGAGTGGGTACAATGTTTGCCGTGACACATTTGTTTTCCCCAAACATCTCTTTCGCATTATTTGAACCTTCCGCCTGAACTTACATCACCTGCTGGGTGGGTAGAGCCTACAAGGCCGCATCATACGGGATCACATTGAACTGTAAACTTGTCGGTGCTTTTGCTCCTCTGACCATCGCAGTTGTCTTTTATCTCTACGCTCAACTTTGCTAGACAGACTGGATTTTAATTAGTACAGTATTAGGCTTTATAGGTGCAGTCGCAACACAATGGTTCATCATGGCATGAGTGGGGAGTTCGTTCATAGATGGAAAGCTATAAATTTTGGACAGGTTAAGGGTAAGAGCAATGAGACCGACATACGTCTTGAGGTTCATGATTGGATAAGTGCAAATGGCATGGCTCGTGCCATTGATTGGTCATCAGGGTTAACCGCTTTGCTCGCCATATGTCAAAATTTACCCAGGGGTCACATCACTTCATTTTGAAGTAAGGGGAGATCATTTTCTCAATTATGGGCTTGACCATGATTCACCATGGATTATTCCTGGTGAATCAGCTGAGATCCTGCTTTTTCCTTGCTCCCAAGTACTGGGATCTTAGTCGGAGGCCTCGGCACTCTTTTTTAAAAACAAATAGTGTTCTGTTGTTTTGAAACTGGCTTCAGTAAAATTTGCTACATGCTTGATGTTTACTTGTCTTGCATGAAAGTCAAGAGAGAAAAAAAATTGAAGTTTACGAGCACTAACAAGTTTTTGAAAAAGCAGATTCTCAGTTCAGTTCAGAGTCCCAAAACATATATATTTATATATATGCAATTATTTGAAACTTATTGTTGTGCTGCAGTTTGACTATTTGAAGAACCAGAAGATACAAAATTTGATACTGTGCAACCTCTTTATCTCGACATCGTCGGGACCAGAAAAAATATCGTATAGAGAGGCAACCAAAAATTACTAATGATATATATATGGAAAAAATCGGGACCTGGGCACCATGTCGCTCTGCACAGGATGTCATTATATCGAAGGTCGTTATAGACAGGCTGCACTGTAGCTGAAAAAAAAAATGCAGAGAATGTAACTTGACATTTTTTATTTTACTGATTGTGCAATATTTTGACTTGTTTATTTTCAGGCTGAAGGTGAACACAAACATTCCAGCAATAAGCATACTGTTGTCCAAAGACCCTCTGGATTCAAATGATCCAAGGTAACGAATTAGATACTGACCACAAGAAATGGACTCCACTTAGTTGCTGTTTATGGTTTCTGAAATTGGTTACGCTCTGCTGCAGCAAGCTGACAAAACGCCTTAAAAAAATTTTACAGCAGTTTTGAGAAAAAGAGTTTTTTTTTGACAGCGTAACCATTGAAAAATAGAGGGCTTCCGAAATTCGAATTCTAATTTATTCAAAAACTAGTCACAGTTTCTTTTTTATTTTTTTCACACAAGCATGGTAACTGATCAGGCTTTCGATTTAGCAAATAAAAATTTTTGGCATGAAAATGAAAAAAGGCGTTTTGTCAGCTTACGACAGTATAATCCATTGTGTTGTAGGATGTAAGACCTACATCCTAAATCCTTTTTGGATTATTTTAAGATGCTTTCATGAAAAGACACGTTGCTTCTAGATTGCATGGAGATGTCATGGAAAATTTCATAACATGGTGCAGAACTCATAGTTTAATGAAATGAACCCTTTAATCTATTTAGGAAGTACCGTATAAAGTACTTTTGTTTTTGCAGCTTGGATTATGTTGCCAGTTTTTAATATGCCACATCTAGGATCTAGATTTGGTGGACTCCGGCAACAAATCAGATAACTTGACTTACTCGCCCCTAAACTTTGTAACTGACAAGTCAGCCTAAGGAGGACAGCATGCCTCTCTTGGTCAAAACCATGCATTTAGGCACGAGTGCGGGCCATCATTTAAATTAAATTGAAAATTGTTCTGCAGCTTGGCCAGCAGAGAAGATGTATAATTATTATTTCATTTTAGTTCCCTGTAACTCAGTGTGTATTTCAGTTGATTGGAAAAATCATTTGCAATGCTTTTGAAGAAAATAATTTATGTTTTCATTTTTAATTGTTACTATTGCTCTTGTTAATGTCCTGCGACTCACGTATTGTTAAGTTTCTAGTGTCATCATAGAAAAGAAGCTGCACATCATATAGACACTTACTCAGGGGCTTATGCTCAAAATCATGCCCATGAACATCCACATGTAGGTGTATTCAAGAAGAGATGGGGTTGTTTTTTTTTGTAAGTGTTTTACGGTGCTCACAACTGCTTAAGGTCATATGAGCGCACGAGACACATTAAACATTTTCAGTTGGTAGGAAATTTTGAATTTTGTTCAGGTGGCGGCCGAAGCCTGCTCTTATCGATTTTGGACCTCCAAGGAATCTTTATCAGGCTTAACTTGCACACGTGACATTCTGAGATTTTTCGCCCTTGTCCGAGAAGGCTAGGTATAGATCTTTAATACTTCTACCATAAGATCAGGGGTGTGGCTGAAAAACAGCTGTAAGAAGGAGCCAAGGAGTAGCAATAGGAAGGCTGCAGAAAGAGTCAGGAGCCCAGAGGAGGGGCAAAGGGGGTGGGGGGCAGAAAATGGTGACGAAAACAGACGACAGAACATTGCTAGAGAGCAGGAAAGAAGGTGAAAGGATACAATTTTAGAGAAGAAAATTTTCTGGCGCTATCCGGATTTGAACCCACGACCTATTGAATGAGAGGCAAACACCTTGAGCTCTAGGCCACAAGAGTCCCCAAGTAGAGGTAAACGCTGACATATGCACTAAATGTTAACTAGTGACAATACTAAAGGACAGAGGGGTTGCACAGCCAGCTGCTTTTAATTTAATGATTAATGGTTCATTTACAATTTGTTTCCTGGAAAGCACATTCATGTACTGTACTCTCAGTGTACTTGTTAACAAACTGGATGGGTTGTACATCATCATTCATCATCAGCATCATTCTAAAATTGTTTGACATGCCCCTTGGTGCACTCAGCACCTCCCTTTGTACTCACCTCTTCTTTCAGTGTCGTGTCTAATAACTTTGTGGTTTTCCTTTTTTAAAAAGTTCTTGATATCACTGAAGTGGTTATTTCGGAGTCTTGCTGTTTGTTGTGTGTGTGGATGGGGGGGGGGGGTGTTCCTTATTCTTCGTTGGAAATCATGTTGTTTATATTGTATTCCCATCAGTTATCAAGCTCCGGGTGCTACTGACGTGGTTTGGGCCGGCACATCAAAACGGCGACACCAGTTTCATTCCCATAAGAATAAACTTGCTGCTGTCAGAGATGTTAAGTCTGCTGCATCGAGACCAAAACGGGCAAAGGGAGATCGAAGAGATGGTAAAAAATCATCGGGAAAGAAAAAAGATGATGGGAAAACTATGGAGACCAGTTGAAGGAGCTGCTTATTAAATGAATATACTATTAGTCAATGAATATTTGGGCACTTTGCAATACACTCCTTTTGGAGGTAATAGATTGTGTATCATTACTGATAGCTATTTACTGGTTGGATGGACTGCTGCTGTTTGATAATGATCTGCCTTAAACAGTCTGGAGCCTTGAATCTAAATGTGTAATTGTAGTCTATGAAATAATGATCTACAGTTTGTATGTGAATTGAAATAGTTTCAAAGGAAAGACAGTAGTGTTAAATACAGTATTTCAGAATTTTTCTGTTTCTAAGACAAAAACACATTAGTTAAAATCATCAGTCAATATCATAGTGTTAGTGTTAGGGATGCATATCATTTAAGCAATTTTTTTTTGGTTCCAGCTCTTTTCATAGTGTCATTTGGTGTATGACATGTTTCTAGGCGAATTAACAGGCTGATCAATTTTTTTGACTTCCTATTATATAAGAAAAACTTATTTGTGTCTAGTTCTAGTTTTGCTGTGGTTACATTCAGCTCAAGTGATTGGAATCTGTCCATTTTTATCCTAATGTCTCCCAATTGATGGTCAAGAAGACAAATTTTTTGCATGGAGACACACATTTTGTGTGTGTGTGTGTGTACGCATGAAGAGAGAAAGTGCAAGTTAGAGGTGTGTTGTATATATTTAAAGAGAAAGAGAGTATATGTGAGGCAGCGGGGTGGAATCAGACTCTCGTCAATTTTTAGGCACATAGAGTTATTGGTATCATCTTAAAGCTTGTTCACTTGTCTTTATTTGGACGAAAAAAATATCCGTTTATCTTAAATACAAATCGAGATATTTGAAAATGAAGAAGGTGGGGGTCACCTGTTTTCAGAGGTAAAATTAGTGAGAAAATGGCTGCCAAAGATGAGATATTTCCTTAGCTTAAGAGTCCGTAGTAACTGAACATTTACATCTTGTGTGCTTTTCATCAACGTTTTTCAGAAAAATGCACATAGAAATGAGTTCTTCTATGGTCATGAAAGGTGTTGAGCCCAAAAACAAAAATCTGATAAAAATTCACAAACCTGCGGAAAAATGCAAGTTTCTTCACTTTGATTATTTTGACGAGAGCCTGATTCCACCGCGCTGCCTCACATATGGATTAACTGTTTGAATTTTTTAAATGTCGTATTTTGTGCTACAATGTATGTACAAATGACATTATATGTATGATTAAATGTGACCTTTAAATATGACTAGCTTGTAGGTTTCTTTTTGTTTTTTGTTAAGTCATTGACAGTATGTGTATAAGTAGAATAACTAAACATTGTTTTTGAGCGGAGGAGTGGGGAAAAGGATCGACTCTAAACAGGGTTCCCACTCAGATTTCCTGGTCGAGAAAACTCCATGAATGTGAATGCAAATTTTAGAAAATATATATATATTTGCTGTTCGGCTACCCCAACCCTTCCCCACCTTCCTGGGGTGTATGGCCTCAGGAAAAGTCAGATTCTGACAGTTTTACATTACTACGCCACATGCAGCTGTCTAACTTTAACACCTTCTGTGCACAGAGCCCTTGTAGTCATTCTGTGACACTGTGCCAGTAGAAAAACATTAGCTGGGAGTAAAGCCAACATTAGTTTGACAAGGTGTAGAAAAATTCCTGTGCCTTTGTGTTGTGGGTGACCAGCTTAGGCAGAGAGGGTTAAAAAAAACCAAAAGACGGATCAAGTTTGAATCAGTTGCTTGTGCAGAATCGAGGGCTTATGACAGGTGCCCTTGGTTTCTTCAGTTTTTGCTAGTGTCAAGCCAACAGCCAATAAGTCACAGCCCCCCCCCCCCCCCCCCCCCCCCCCAACTCCTCTTTTTTCTCCTAATTGGACAAAGAAGATAAGCCTGTGGAAACCTCTTTCATCCCACCTTTTTTACGTTACGGTTTGAGTTACATACCTTACAATCCCTGTCCTTAACACTCCAGGAAAGACGACTTTACATAACCATGATTTTTATAATGCATTTCTCTTCATTCTTTTTTCAAGCTCTGTCATGAAAAAAAAATCACTTTGAGTTTGAGAATTGTTACAAAATCCAGGAGTCAACTGGGAAAAAACTCAGGAATTTTTTCTCCTTGATGTGTGGGAGCCCTGTCTAAATCTCTTTGTGTTTTTAAAAATTTGCCACTGCTCCTACACTTAACCATTCAAGATAAAAGGCTCAAATTTCACCGGCTAATGTAGAATTATACTAGCTACCAAGCTACTTTTTTTTGCTTTTGTTTGGAGTTGGCGAAAGTTGAATTTTCACGAAAATTTTACTCTTCACTATGACCCTTCATATCAAGCAAATGACTAATTAAATATATTATCAAAACAACATTAAAGCTTTGTTATTAATGGGCGTTTAGTTAGTCTACACCTAAGCTTTGTCAGTTTCTTTTCTAAAAAAACTAGGTCTACACGTTAAGTATCATTGTGTTTGGACAAGTAGTTATGGAGAAGAAACAAATTATTGTGTCTCTCTGTTTTTAATTTATTGGTTAAACAGTTGTGTTTCGAGATATAAGTGCTGGTGGCAAGTAAGACTGGCTCATGCCGTTGTTAGAGCGGCTAGGATAGCACTTTGGAGGTGTGAAGTTTTTTAAATCTCTGATTACGACCAGCCGGACAGGCGATCCTTGATCCCACAACGTATGGCTGGCCATCAGGAACACCACCCCCACCCCCACCCCCCCACCCCTCATTTCCTTGCTGTCTAATACCTGGTGCCTATTAAAAAATCTGTTCGATTTGGTCATCGGGTGCTAGCTAGGCAGGTTTTCCTAAAGAAACTGTTTGTTTTCAAGGCTGCGAGACTACGAGTCGGGTGATTAGTTTGGGACAGGGATCATATAGTGTGCACTGAGAAGTCGCCAGAAATCAAACCGAACGGATCTTCCAATGGGACTTGGGACATAATTTTTTTCTGGCTCCCCTGTGATTTCTTCTTGGACAAGTTCGACTGTCCGTTGACAGTCTTTAACGAATTCGGTATGGGAATTTTTAAAAATGTAACTCTAAAAAGCCATCAAATGGTAATGGACACAAGTTTTTCATCTCTTCTGCCTTCTTCCGTCCCCGTGGCATTTGTGAAAGAAGCTGGAGAGCCGGTATTGGTGAGCAGTCAGCGGGAGATGGTCGAGCGTAGAGCCCCTTCATAAAAACTGTCTTGTGTTTAGGCCCAGGACTTCTTGAACCTGCCTTCCCTGCAAGGCTAGACTCAATGCCCCTTGTAGTATAAACATTTTATACAGTAGGCATTGGTTGAACAACACAAGGTCGTAACTTTTGAGGGCTCTCCTGCAGCCTGTGTTAGGACATCTGGTCTTGCAGTGAGATTTTTTTTTTTAAGGTGTCTCGTTTCTCACGTTCTTCTTCTTTAGCACAATAAGAGATTGATGTTTTAAGTCAGAAAAAAATTGATTGTGAAAAATTTAATTAAATTTCCATTGAGAGGATCAACATCAAAGAGAATAATTGTTTCTGACTCCATACCATCATAAAAATAATGTCGAAGTTTTGAAAAATGTCAAGTCATAATAAGCAGTTGGAAACTAGGTGCGTTTTTAAAGACGACTTATTTACTTATCAGTTGAAGTATTGCTGAAGTGGGTGTTGAGATGTCAGAATGATAGGCCTAGGCCTACTTCTCCAAGATGTTTTCATAATACATGTTGTTACGTCATGCTCTATTTTTAGATGTAGGCCTTATGTTTTTGCACGAATTAATATCATGTATTTTACATGTGTTTCTCAGCTCAAAACTGCTAACTTTGCTTATTATCCAAAGACAGTGTTAGAATATAATAGTTCTTACCTTTTTAATATTTGAACAGGATTATCTTTGATATTTAAGTTTAAGAACATGTAGCTGGGGCTTTCATGGCCTAGAGGTTAAGGTGTTGGCCTCTCATTCAAAGGTCCAGGGTTCAAATCCGGGTAGCGACCGAAAAAAATTTCTTCTCTAAAATTGTCTCCTTTCACCTCTTTTTCCTGCTCTAGAGCAATGTTTTGTCGTCTGTTTTCGTCTCCTCTTTCTGCCCCCACCCCACCACCTCCTTTGCTCCTCCTCTGGGCTCCTGATTCTTTCTTCAGCCTTTCCACTGCTACTCCTTGGCTCCTTCTTACTGCTGTCTTTCAGCCACACCGCTGATCTTCTGGTAGGAAAGATCTACACCTAGCCTTCTCGGACAAGGGCGAAAAATCTGGGAGGACCTGTGTGCAAGCTGCGCACGTTAAAGATCCATTGGTGGTCTAAAATCGATAAGAGTAGGCTTTGGCCGCCACCCAGGCAAAATTCAAAATTTCCTACCAACTGAAAAAGTTTAATTGTGTTCCGCGCGCTCATATGACCTTATGCAGTTGCGATCGCCGTAAAACACTTTTAAAAAAAGAAAAGAAAAAAGAACATACAGTCGAACCTGTGTAGTAAGAGGAATTGTAAGGAAGCCGGAAAAAATTCCGTCTTAGACAGGGTAATTTAGGGGGAGATGGAGGTTGAAAGGGGGGTTCAAAGGCCCAGCCGTAGGATCAAGGATTGCTTGTCCGATTGTCAAGCAGTAGTCAAAATTTCACACCTCTCAATTGCTATCCTGTCTGATAATGACATGAGTCAGTCTTACTTATCCAATTACTATCAGTGCTTGCCTTTCATAGGACCACTGTTTGACCCATTAAAAACAGAAACGTTTGAACATCTCCCTTGCTTCCATCCTTAGCCCCACCCACCAATGCCACCCCTTACTGTCATCATTGTAACAACGATTCAAGGAACTCTTTTCTCGGCTGGCCATACGATCAGGACGGCAGGCATTGGTCAATCTAATTTCACATCTCTGGCTTCTGGACCCAGGAAAGTTTCCGTAGTGGCTCACTACTCGAGCTCTCTCACGGGCAGTCGTGAGATTTCACACCCACACTTCACTGACCACCCGCATCGCTCAGGGCGCACATGATGGGGTAACATCACAGAATTCTACACTTTAAGTGTAGAATTCTGTGGGTAACGTCAATCTAGGAGTTTAGAACTAACTTTTCATCTCCTTGGGTAACATCTACCCCCAAATTGCACCCCTACTCCCCTTCCTCACCCAGCCGCAAGACCATAGCATTAGTTTAGAGTCAGCAGAACCAAACTTGCGAGTTTTGTTTCAAATCAGGGCTGAGCGGGCAAAACATTTTCCGTCTTAGACAGGTGAAATCCTCGGAAGGGAGCGGATTTTTCTTTCCGTTTCAGCATTGGACAGGTTCCCATTTTATACAGGTAATTAAAGAGGAATATAATAATATCAAGGGGAAGCGGGGAGATTCTATTAAGACAGCAGGTTTCCGCAAAGGCAGGTTCGACTGTATAGCGTCGTTCCCCATAATATTAATAATTCAAATTCATGTTAAACCTTTGTTCATGAAAGCCTATAATATTATTATCCCCCAAAATAGGGAGAGTAACTGTGATTGATACCTTGCACTTAACGACATAGAAAGTACAAAGTAATTGTGTCCCTTGATTTAGCTTCTGAAGAAGAAGAAGAAGGAGGAGGAAGAAGAATCGGCGTCGGGTTATCCTTACCTAGTAGTAGGTAGTAGGAATCGTGGTTTTGTTTTGTGAACAAGCTCTTTGCATGGAGCAATCCTATTTTTAGATGTGCCGCTCTCTAGGCCGTATATTATATTAATACTCAGTTTCAACTTAAAATACTCAAAAAATGAAATCGAAAGCTTGATAAATCAATATAAGGTAGGGTCATAAACCCACTGGGGATTTTTGTTTGTTTGTTTTCTTTCTTTCTTTTTTCTTTTTCTTTTTTAAGGACGGCCAGGCTTGTTTGTGACTAGATTTTTCAGTAGTTCCCCCCCCCCCCCCCTATTTCATGCTTCGTCATAAATCTTTACTCAAGGAATTAAAAGGAAGGTGGGTGGGATGAGGTGGGGTTGGGGATTATGATGAGACAAACCTGACCCGACAGCTCGTTGTCTTTGATTTCAATGAAATCCCTCACCCCCCCCCCCCCCCACCCCCCAAACAAAAATTAGTTTCAAGTAGGACATTAGGAAACACGTAATCTCCCTAGTGAGTATGAGTGCGCATGCGTATTAGAAAGAAAGAAAGAAAAAAAAAGAAAAAGACAGACAGATAGACAGACAGACAGATAGACCGACAGACATACATGTACATATTAGATAGATAGATCTAGATACTGAGACACTGAGAGAGACAGCAGAGAGAGACACATCAGAGAGAGAGAGAGAGAGAGAGAGAGAGAGACAGAGACAGAGAGAGAGAGACACAGAGAGAGACACAGAGAGAGACAGAGAGAGAGAATATATGCTTGTACTATATGTGTGTGTGAGTGAGTGAGTGAGTGTGTGTGTGTGTGTGTGTGTGTGTGTGTGTGTGTGTGTGTGTGTGTGTGTGTAACAGAGCCAGAGTGTGTCAACGTGAAAACAGTTGATGTTCACGCTGTAGCTCCAACATGACGTATTCTGTATCAGCGTAATTCCGGAAGATCCCCACAAGCACAGACTTTATAATTACGATTTTACAATAATTGTCAGCGTACCCTGAACGAAAGGAAGCAGTGTTGGTAGGCCTTTATAGTAAATGTCTTCTCAAGCGAAACAAATGGATTAACAGTATACATATAGGAGATAGTAAAAGTCGAAAGCAAATAAATAGTCAATTAAATCATATATAGATCTAGAGTCTAGGGGGAAACCCCCCCCCCCCAAAAAAAAAAAAAAAAAAAAAAAAAAATTCACAGAACGACAGTAGCAACGAAATGAAACAAATCAGATTGAAACAATGACCATACACCCAACGATTTTATAACCAATCACCAGAAACCATCGACCGAAAATGCCCCCCCACGAAAACAACAACAAAAAAGGACATCACTGAACAAACTGTAGGTCCCTATTGCATTTATTCCGGGTTCCATTTGGAACTGCTGAAAATTGAACCACAGTCATGGTCTACAAGTGAATCTCGTAGATAGACTATAAATTCATAGGTAAAATCCCTGTTTAATTAAAAAGTCGCGTACAAAGCCTTGCCCTCATATCAGCCGGTGTACACACCGTTCTTCTACTGCGCCTGCGCGCGGTTAGCTGACTGAATGAACCCCTCCTCACATAGGCCTACAGGCCGCGACTCCCTGCCTCAGCCCTCCCTCAGTCGCTACTGCTAGTCGCTGAATGCTGAAGACGACAGACGCATTGTAGAGTGTAGAGTCAGTCTACGCCTAGGCCTTGTATTTGTAGTGGAGGAGGCTACAGGATCTCGTCTTGTTTTGGCTGTGTCGACTGTCTGTGGAGTACCCGAAAGCAAAGTGAATTAGATGAAAGCTGTAATTTATGAAGTGAATTGTTTTGTTCTGAAGCTGCGATGGTTAAGGAAATAGATGTCGTGGGTGTGAATAAGTCTTTTCAGACGATGGAAGTGGAAAATACTCGTGCTATCGCCGAAGATTATATAAAATATCGCCTTCAATCAAGTGGGTTTGTATGGGAAAATGGCCGGCAGGGAAATGTTACGCCCAACTCAGTTGAAGCTGCGATGCGGAGCCTTGGTGATGAATTCGAAGAACGTTTTCGGAGTCATTTTGACGATATGATTGGACAGCTACACGTTACGGAAGATAATGCTCATGATACATTTTCTTCCATCGTCTCAGAAACCTTCTCTGATGGTGTAAATTGGGGCCGTATTGTTGCTTTGTTTGGATTTGCTGGTCGTTTTGCTGTACAGTGCTTTGAAAACAATTTGCCTCACGTAGTAGATAATATCGTAGAATGGGTCACAGCATATGTGGATAATAATTTGAGTACGTGGATGTCATCGCATAATAACTGGGTAAGTCCATTAAGACTAAACTAAGTTAATCATGGCATTTGAATTTGAACTTCCTGAAGTTGCATTTTTGCGGTATTTTTTTACTTTCCCTCCACCTCCAGTCTCACACTTAGGCTAGATCTAGATATATCTAGATTCTAGATATCTAGATCTAGATCTAGGTCTAGACTCTAGATCTAGAATCTAGCTACCAGTTGTTCATTTGTTACTAGAGTGACCTAGAATCTAGATCTAGATCTAGATCTAGATCTAGATTTAAATATTGATGCGCTGAGCACGAATATCTAGATTCTAGATTTACTTCATTTCAGTCGCAAATGAATAGTTTTTGAAATACGAAGTGTATACAGACCCGGTAACCGGGAACAAAGTCACGAAGTATTCAGACCCGGTAGGGGAACTCTTTTGTAATTTCGGGAAGTTTCAGCCCCCAGACCCGGTAGAAATCTAGTGTGTGTGTGTGTGTGTGTGTGTG